TTAAAAAGTGACCCTTCCACAGTGTGTGGTGGGGAATAGCTCAGGGAGCACACACAAAGAGGCAGTGTGTGTGAGCCGTGGTACGTCAGTGTCTGCGGCTCGGAGCTGCTGCTGGTCGGGGCGAGCAGCAACGTCACTCCCTGACGGCGGAGCAGCGCGAGCGGCCAGCGCGAGGCGAGCAGCAGCGACTCGCCCGCCCCGGAGCGGACACGGAAAGACGGCTGTGTGGGACACGCTTCCTGCACGGTGACTTGCTCCTTCTTTGGCTCAGGTAAGCCCTACTTAGCTTTCATTAAAACCAGTATAAAAAGCTTTCAAAGTGCGTTTTTGCCCCTCTTTCCCCTCCACCCCACCCCAGCAGCGTTGAAACATGCCGGGGACCAGACGTGACGACTAGAAGAGCTCCCCGCATTGTTGTCCTGTCGCCATGAACTGCGTTGCTATGGTGCTGAAAGGCAACATCCCACCTGCTGCTGTTTCCGCTCTGTGCGTTCCCCACACCTGGCAAATACGTGGAAATTTGCTTTTTTAACGTTTTGCTCCTGAGACGTTTGCAAAGGGCGAGCAAAAATGATCACTTTGACTGTTTTATGACTTCCACTTTCTTTAAACGTAGCTAATAAAAATGCATTTGTTAACTCCCGCCAACTCTCTTTTCAGCTAGACTTGTGCCTCTTGGCTACAGTGAACAGAATCAAACCTGGGAATGAAAGTTGGCCTTTTCTGAGTGCTTTTTCCACCCATTTACAGTATATTACAAGCCTACTTGTGATGAAACACAGGGCGTATTACTTTCTAACTGCTGCTTCTGTGTTTATTTTTACAGCGTCTGAGTAAAACCCACGACTTCAAGGCTTGAACAAACCCAAAGATGGTGACTACCAGCATGGCATCCCTCACACGGACATTAGTGGCTGTGGACAAGGAGAGCAGATGCTTGCATTGAAGGTGCCTAGTGCATACTTTCTCTCTCTCTCTTTTTTTTAACTTTTCTTCACCACAGACAGATGCTGTGGTTTTACATCAGTGCGTGCCAATACCAGGCCCGTGCTGCAAAGAAATTCCATTATCCCTATCTCTTTGCTGCCGTGACAAGGAGGAAAATCACTGTGTCGCTCCGTGGCGAGGCAGGGAAGGAGGGACAATTATGAGTCAGAATGGAGGAAAAAAGAAAAGCTGTCACTCTTCAAACACGCCTATGAACTTTGTAGACAGCACACACACTTATTGAGCCTTTCTTTCTTAAGTTCATATCTTAGCAGGTGACTATTATAAGGAGATTTGGCACTATATTATTTCTGAAACCTTAGCCTTTTACTTAAATGAGGATGTGTGTATAAATGCTCAGGATTACAGTGGATTGACTCAAGTGTCCAGAGTGCAGGGGCGAGTGTCCAAGCAAAGGTCTGTTCATTGTATTTAGGTTAACCCATGTCGCCGCTGTCAAGAGACAAGGGTCTATTCTACAGTAGCTCACCCAGCACAGTAGAGATAGGGGTGGGTGAGGAGTGGTGCGTGAGGCAGAGAGCGTGCTTAACCCAGCCTTTGAGTGACTCTTGTATCCAAGGACGAAGGTAGCAACGCATCCGAGCGCCACTCTTCGCCCACGGACGTGCTGTGAAGAAATGATGCGGAGACGCGGGCGGGCGCTCCTGTAGCCTCGACGACCTGCTGGGCCTAATTCACAGAGCCCCCGGGGTTCAGTGCGTCTGTCTGCTGTGCCAGGGATGATGACTGAGCACATCTCCACTACAGCTAGAGTGAAGGAGAGACTCACGTAGCGTGAATGGGGGGTTCCCCTCCTCTCTTGTTAAATGTATTTTTAACTCATCAAAACAAGCCAAAACAAAAGCATCTGTCTTCTTCTTTTTTTTTGTTTTTTACACCTATCCCAGCCTACGTCTGTTGCATGTTTTTGGCAGAGGAGCACCCTGGAGAGGAGGTAGTAACAGGTGCCGTGTGCCAAGGTGATTTTGGAGGTGTGGATGAGAGCTGAAGATCATGGGAAAATCAAACAGCAAACTCAAACCGGAGGTGGTAGAGGAGCTGACAAGGAAAACCTACTGTGAGTATCTTCATCACCTTTTATATAGATAAAAAATAAACCCCTTAAATAAACTTTTCTAACTCTATAAACATGTCTGAGAAAAAGACAAAGGATAAAGAGTGATGGGAATACCTCATGTTGATGTTGCAGTTTTCTTCTGATGTTTTCCACATACTGTGCGCTGTACAGTAAATAGCTCTGCCTGTTGGGATTCAACACCTTTCCCGTTATTGACAGAACAGAGCTGTAGCCACATGCCAACCCTGTTGGATTTCAATTTACATTTATATGTTGTGTAGCATTGTGATTGGTTAAAGAGGCAATATAATGTGTTTCTCGGGCATATATTTAAATACTATACTATATCTATGTCACCTTTATCTGTTGTTAAAATGCTGTTTTTATGTTTAAATAGAAAAATAAACTTATCTTCTCATCACTTCCTCTTCTAAACGTCTTGAAATTGGCCTCTGCTTCTGTCTCGCCCATTTCAGTGTGTGTGTGTGTGTGTGTGTGTGTGGGGGGGGG